TTCTTTTGCATTCACTCATAATACCTTTGAGTTCCCTCGCAATACTTCTGCATGCCCTTGCATGCTATTGCGTTCCCTCTCAATACCTTTGTATTCCCTCGGAATACCTTTACGTTCCCTCACAATACATTTACGAACTCTCGCAATTCTTTTGCGTTCACTCACAATACTTCTTAGTTCCCTTGCAATCATTTTGCGAGCTGTCGCAATACCTTTGCGTTCCCTCGCAATACTTTAACGAGCTCTTGCAATTCTTTTGCGTTCACTTGCAATACCTGTGTCCCTGTGCAGTACTTTTGCGTCCACTCAAATGACTTTTGCATGCCCTCAAAATTCTTTCGGATAACCCTGCGATACTTCTGCATGCCCTCGGAACAACCATTGCATTACGTCGCAATTCTTTTGGATGCCCTCACTATGAGTTTGGCTTGCCCATAATCATGCAGGATAATCAGCCCACTCGTAACTTTGCGTCAGCCTGGACGCAATGGAGAACCCACATCCTTTGGAGAACCTTAGAAGGTTTTGATTTGAGATCGGCCTGCAATAGTACTTCTAATGACGATATCCTTCCAGCAAGATGATTGCTTCCAAATTCTTTGCCGAAATGCAACAGGCAACGACTCAGGTGCTGTCAGACATGTTGGGCTCAACTGTGCCATCGAGAGTCATGTATTTACAGCCAGTAAAAAAAAAAGACTCAAAAGGCACAAACACGTGTAATAAAGAATCAGAGTCGCAGAGTGCTCTGCGTGGGGAAATGTAGTATTTTTTTTCTCTCTGCTGTAGAGAAATGTGTCGGCTTGGCAACATCTGCTGTCTGAGCGGCTTATCAGAAACTGGCAGCTCGGATCTTCGCCCGCCGCATTTTCATTTCCACCCCGAAACTTTATGTAACAGACACTGCCTTGCATCGCCAAATGGCGGCCGTTAAAGCATAATGACTGTGGAACCATAATTATTTGGAGAAGTACTCGACGAGGCCCCCACCCTAAGTGCTCCCCCGCGCTCCGCAGACGAGGGCCACGCAAGAGCGGCCGCGCTAATCGCCAAAAGAAACTTCTGCTCTCTACGCCTTCTCTCCCCCCCCCCCCCCCCCCCCCCCCCCCCCCCCCC